GGACAGGGCGGCGCAGCAACGAGCACGACGGGCTCGGCGACGATGACGTGGCGCGTCGGCAACGATCACGACAATGATGATGATGATGACGTGGCAAGGCAACGTCGGTCTTCGATGATGACGATGATGACGATGATGATGTGGCACAATGGCGGCGATCTCGACGATGGCGATGACGAAGTAGGGTGGGTTGGGCGGGTCGAACCGCTCCGATACCAGTGTAACGAGCGCGAGGCTGCGGGAGACAGGGAGAGCTGAGGGAGAGGAGAGGGAGAGAGAGAGAGAGAGCACATACACACACACTCACTCACTCGACACGACTGAGGGTCGGACGCAGACACAATGGCAAGGACACAAAGTCGAAGTCTTGGATTCCGAATGCCGAAACAGGAGCAAGTCACACTGGGTACGAGTACAGCAGCTGGAAACTGGTACGGGACTCGTCCCTGTACTGTACGGGGCACCGGGGGCAGATCTGCAAAAGCCCCGAGGGCAGAACTGAAAAGTGCGGTACTTGAAAGTGGCGCCCGAATTGCAGCATGGCGCCAGTTGTCCAAAATCCGATGGTACTAAAGGAGGGTTTTGGAAAAAAGGGTGCCAGGCCGAAAACAGGAAGCAGCAGAAACAGCAAAAAGATGGACCAGGGATCGAGCCCTGGCGGAGTCCGTGACACTTCTCCTCCTCCAGCTCCATCTCTTTCTGCCTCCCTACCCTCCCTCCCTCTTAGGCTTTCGCCTTCCTTTTTCTCCTCCTCGTGTTCCTCTTCCTCTTCCTCGACATCCCCTTCATGTCGCTTGGTCTCCCTTTCGTGATCAGAGTGAATAGGAAAGAAAAACAAAACCACCATAGCCTTGTTCTCCTCTTCAAGTCGCTTCGTCTTCCTTTCACGATCAGAGTGAGTAGGAAAGAAAAACAAAACCACCATAGCCTGTTTCGGCACCTTTACACCACGCCATAATCATCTCACCTTGTCCTTGCAAATAGTGCTCCTTACACCTCATCTTTCATCTTCATCGGCATCTTCAACCTCGTTTTCATCAGTCAGCGTCGTCATGGTTGGCTGCTTGGTCTCTCTCTCTCTCTCTCTCTCTCTCTCTCTCTCTCTCTCTCTCTCTCTCTCTCTCTCTCTCTC